CGAAGATACTCACTTTATCTCTATGTCTATGACCGAAACTAAAATGACATAACAAAAGCTTCTTTGCAGTGTCTGGAGCTGCAAATTCAGTCCCTTTTTAATAAACTGCAGACTTCAAAACTTCACATGCGTAAGATGTCGTCTTGAATGAAAAAATGTTTCACATAAAATCATGAACTTTAACAGAGGTAAATTGAAACTATTCTCTATGGTAGGAGAAATAAAAACATCACTTGCAGTTTAGAAAGTAGGAAACTGCTGGGCAAAGAAATTGAAGGACATAGGTAAATAATTTTGAGAAGTATCATCACAGGTCAGTTCTTAAAAAGTTCAGTAAATTGGGGGATTTATTTCTAGGAATTTTGAATTTAAAGGTTGGGGAACAGTGTTAAATGTAAATAGTCTCTCGTCAGACTGCACTCTGGTTTCCATACCATATAATGGTCAGGGTATGTGCTGGAGAGAGTGAAATAAAAACACTTTATACCTGAGCTGAGCCATTATATATAACCAGAAGGATTGACCAGAGTGGGTCAATATTTCTATAGGAGACAGAAAACGTAGAATTGAGACCTGATAGACATTTTTAAAATTATGGATGGGTTGGAAATGGTGGATGTAGAATGTTCCAACATGTGGAAGAATCCTAAACCAGAGAGCATAAATAGACATTATTTTGAATGGTTAGAACATAGAATTTGTTTTTTTAGCAAGAGACTGAGACAAGTAGCTTAGATGCTCTCAAAAGGAATAGGACAAGTATATGATAGAGTAGAAAGATATGCTGAAAAATTAAGATGCAGTAGATGGATTGGGGGAGGCCCGTTTTGAACAGAACTACTAGCAGAGAATAGATCGGCCAAATAGTCAAATCCTATGCAGTACATTCAAAATGATGTTTTGTATATTCATGAATTCCCTGTATAAATAAGAGGTAATACTTAAAGATGTAAATTGCCTAACATAAATACTCAGGAATTCATGTTACCAGCGTATTGAGAGAAACTTGGCAGGAGATCTTATTGAGAAGCAGGAGTTATAAATAGTTCTTAGAGCTAAAGAGATCAAAGCATGTGGGGGGAAAGAGGAACTGGGTACTAGGTTGGATGATCATAATGAACAGTGGAGTAGGCTCAAAGGGCTAAATGGCCTAGCCCTGCTCCTATTTCCTGTATTTCTGTGTTTTTTTAAGGAGATCTGTGATGTAATCACAATGGTCAGAACAGAGTCTGGGGAGACACCAGGCTAATGATGTATCAATATGCAGATAGCATATTCAATCTGACACGAGCAACTACAGACCCATTTTCTTATTTCTACTCTATATAAGTTAATGGAATTAAATATTGCCATGAATAAACTTCAGGATTATCTATTCAACCCCCAAGTCCCTTTGCACTTAAGATTTCTGAATTTTCGCCCCATTTAGAAAATAGTCTATGCCTCTATTCTTCCTACCAAAGTGCATGACTTCACACTTTTCCATGTTGTATTCCATTCTGCCACTTTTTTGCCAACTCTCCTAACCTGTTTAAATTAGTTAGCGACAATCAAAATTGATGCAGAAGAGGAATAAAACTGCTTGACAAACCTGAGTGGATGCCCCAGGGTTCAATGCTGGCAGCAGTACTGGTTTCTAATTTTAAATACATGATGTCAATGCAGAACATCAATACGTACTCTAAAATTTGCTGCTAATGTCAAATTAGGAAAGTGGAACCATATGAAACAGGCCAGAAATTAGCTACTAAATCAGAAAAATTTCCAAGTGACCAACGCAATGGCAGATTAAATTTAATGCAGAAATGGACAATGAGAATTTCATGATTAGTAAAGCTTCATGAAAATGGAAGGAGACTGATGAACATATTTTATGAATGCAGAGCAGTAATCAACAAAGTAAATAGGTAATTGACATACATGGTAAAATCAAAAGATTATAAATAAGACAAGGAGTATGTGATGAAACTTATAATGTCCTCGTCAGATATGCACCTTGAATAGACCATAAGACATAGGAGCAGAAATTAGGCTATTTGGCCCATCGAGACTGCTTTGCCATTTAATCATGGCTTATAAGTTTCTCAACCCCATTCCCCTGCGTTCTCCCCATAACCTTTGATCCCCTTGATAATCAAGAACCTTTCTACCTCTGTCTTAAATATACCCAATGAACGGGCCTCCATAGCCTTCTGTGGCAATGAATTCCATAGATTCACTAGTCTCTGGCGGATGAAGAAGTTTCTCCTCATCACTCTCCTAAAGGGTTTTCCCTTTATTATAAGGTTGTGTCCTCTCGTCCTAGTCTCTCCTGCTAATGGAAACATCTTCCCAATGTCCACTCTGTTCAGGCCATCCAGTATTCTGTAAGTTTCAATTAGATCCCCCTCAACCTTCTAAATTCCATTGAGTATAGACCGAGAGTCTTCAAACATTCCTCATATCTTAAGCCTTTCGTTCCTGGGATTATTCTCATGAACCTCCTCTAGACCTGTTCCAGGGCCAGTACCTCCTTCCTGAGATATGGGGGCCAAAATTGCTCACAATACTCTAAATGTGGTCTGACAAGAGCCTTATAAAGCCTCAGAAGTACATCCCTGCATTTATATTCTGTAAAACTAAATGCCAATAAATGCTGAAATAAATGCCAACATTGTATTTGCCTTCCTAACTACAGAATCAACCTGTAAGTTTACCTTAAGAGAATGCTGGACTAGGACTCCCAAGTCCCTTTGCACCTAAGATTTCTGAATTTTCTCCCCATTTAAAAAATAGTCTATGCTCTATTCTTCTTACCAAAGTGCATGACCTCACACCTTTCTACGTTACGTTCCATTTGCCACTGTGAAGACTGATACAAAGTACTTGTTCAGCTCCTCTGCCATTTCTTTGTTCTCCATCACTACTTCTCTAGCATCATTTTCCAGCAGCCCAATGTACACTTTTGCCTCTCTTTTGTCCTTTATATAACTAAAGAAACTCTCGCAATCTTCTTTTTCTTACTGGTTAGCTTACCCTCATATTTAATCTTCTCCCTCCTTATTTCTTTCTTAGTTGTCCTCTGTTGGTCTTTGTAGGCTTCACAATCCTCTGGCTCCCCACTGCCTTTCACCATATTACATGCTTTCTTTTTTACTTTTATGCTGTCCCTGACTTCCCTAGTCAGCCATGGTTGCCTCATCATCTCTTTAGTATGCTTCTTTTTCCGAGGGATGAATTTTTGCTGTGCCTCCCAAATTACTTCCCGAAACTCATGCCATTGCTGTTCCAATGTCTTTCCAGTTAGGCTCCTCTCCCAGTCAATTCTGGTCAGCTTTTCTCTCTTGCTTCAGTAGTTGCCTTTATTCAACTGTAATGCCGTTACATCTAATTCCACCTTCTCCCTCTCAAATTGAGTAAATTCAATCATGTTATGGGCACTGCCTCCTAAGGGTTCCTTCACCTTAAGCTCCCTTATCAAGTCTGCCTCGTTGCACAACACTAAATCAAGAATTGCCTGTTCCCTAGTGGGCTCCACCACAAGCTGCTCCAAAAAAATCATCTTGTAGACATTCCACAAATTCCCTTTCTTAGGATCCACTACCAACCTGATTTTCCCTGTCCACCTGCATATTGAAATTCTCCACGATCGCTGTAATCTTACCTTTCTTACATGACTTTTCTATCTCCTGGTGTATCTTGTAGCCCACATACCAACTACTGTTTGGAAGCTTGTACATAATTCCCATTATGGTTTTTTCACTTTGCGGTTCCTCAATTCTACGCACACAGATTCTACATCATCTGACCCTACATTGTTTCTTACTATTGATTTAATTTTATTGCTTACTAATAAGGCAACCCACCCCCCTGCTCACTTCCTGCCTTTTGATAGGATGCATATCTTCGGATATTTAGCTCCCAGTCTTGATCCCCTTGGAGTTACACATCCATGATGCCCACCACATCATACCTGCCAATTTCGATCTACTCCACAAGCTCATTTGCCTTTTTTCGCATACTGTGTGCATTCAGATACAACGCCTACAGTCCTGTATTTACTGTCCCTCTTCTCATTGTATACTGCATCTAGTTCTGCCCCACATGAAATTTGAACTGTTCGTCACCAGAAGCTTGCACGACTGAGGTCCTAAGTTGATTCCCAGTGGTCAGGGGCCTGCATAATGAGGAACCACTGGAAATATGGAGATACGGAAGATTCCAAAGCTTCTCAGAATTGTCCCCTGAGTTTGGAAAATGAAAATGGTTAAGAAAATGGTAAGAGAAAAGTCAGAAAATCATAAAACAGTTAGACTCACATTTATTGAGGAGAAATTATGAAAATTTACAAGTAAGGATAAAATGATGGAGAACTTAGAGAGTTTGGAGCCAATTAGAAAGATGCAATATATGTTTGCAGAGGTATGTAATCGCGAACAAAAATTTTTAAATTTTTTGCTTAAGAGATTATTAGCTAAAATTAGAACTCATGAAATATAATTCAGATTATTGACTTGGTTAGGAAATTGGTTCAGTGTCAGAATCGTCAGAGTCAGGTTACAGACAGTTAACTTGAATAGGGTGGAACTGATTAGTAGTACCCCACAAGAACCTCTGGTAGACTCTGAACGGTTCACTATATATTGATGGCCCGGTCAAACAATATCCCTCATTGTTCATTATGCTTACAGCTTCCAACAGAATATTTGCTGGCTTCTGAGAGACAACTTGCTAACAGGGATTTTTAGCAATCTGAGGTGTTTGTGAGCCAGGTAATTAATAGAATTGAAGAACTGCCATTGAGACATAGAGAGACTAAACCAGGCAGCGTGAATTAAAGTATTCAATTCAATGTAAATACTGCACAGACAGTGAAATAAAGGGAAATAAATATGGTAAAGAGACAAAAACGTAAAACAGTGCATGATTTAAAATCATCAACAATAATTGAAACCTGAAGAATTGACACTCCACTCTTTAAAAAAATAGATTTTCAGCATCATAGAAGTCACTTGTTGGTAATTGAAACTAATTGGATTTTTAATTATTTACTTTCACGTGAAGATGCCAGTTCCAGCATTTTCTGCTATGTTTAGTGGGTAACTAACGTGTTCATCAACAGCAAGTTCACATATCTAAATGTTCAGTCTCAACAAATCCCCAGCATAATTTGGTTTGTGGACGTGCTGTCAAGCAACCTGATTGATTGGTATCCCATCCACCAGCCTTCACCCTGACAAGTAGTGGCAGATGTGTATACTATCTGCAGATGGACAGTAGAACCTCAATAAGAGATAGTAGGAACTGCAGATGCTGGAGAATCTGAGATAACAAGGTGTAGAGCTGGATGAACACAGCAGGCCAAGCGGCATCAGAGGAGCAGGAGAAGCCGTGTCGATTCCATTGGGAAAAGTGGAGAAACAACTGACAGCAACATGCAGATTTCCGCATTTAGGTGCATGCCAGAAATTGGTGAAAACAACGACACTTGACAACATCAAATTGCATACAATCAAAACATGTTTATCAGACATGTTATGATAAACCTTTGGAGCAAGTGGGACGTGAGCCCAGAACTCCTTGTCCAGAGATAGGGGCATTATTACTGCACCACCAGGTTGTAAAGACGTTCTGAAGAAAGGTCACTGGACACGAAACGTCAATTCTGGTTTCTCTCCAGAGATGCTGCAGACCTTTTGAGTGTAACAGCGATTTCTGTTTTTGTTTCTGATTTCCAGCATCCACAGTTCTTTCAATTTCTTTGGTTTGTTGTAAAGACACCAGGGAGCTTATATATTACGATACATGCACACGGCACGGCATGGCGCAGCCGCAGTAACTGACCATGGTTGACGGACCCGGCACAGCACAGCCGCACTAACTGACCATGGATGACGGATCCGGCACAGCGCAGCCGCACTAACTGACCATGGATGACGGATCCGGCATAGCGCAGCCGTTGAAGCCTCTCTCCCTCCGCTCACGTATTCTGTCCTGCGTCACAAGGTCACTGAGGTTGGACGTTTCTCGAGAGCGCCTTTCGTATTGACCAATGAGGAGGCGGCTTGTGACGAGGTGGAGTTTGGTTGCTGTTGCTGGTGGTGGGGTCGGGTGCTGGTTTTTGCCCGGAATTCCGGCCTCATCCTCTCGGTTTATATGTTGGCCCACAAACCTATGCAAACTGGAGAGCAAACACGGGCAGCTCGATGTTCAGTATAAGGCGGCGACGCCGCAGAAGAAGATGAAGAAGCGGAAGGAGCTGAATGCCCTTATCGGTCTCACCGGCGACGGCAAGAAGAAGAAGTCGAAGAAAGGCTCCGGGCACCAGCTCCTGCTGCGGACCGAGGCCACGGCCTCCGATTCCGAATCCACCTCCGAGTTTGACGAGTTCGCGCAGCCGGCTCCCGGCTCCCTGTTTACAAAGTAAGAGAGAGCGCCGAGGAGCCGGGACCCTTTAAAGTACAGTAAATGGTGTTCTGCCTGCGTGCGAAAAGCAAAAGTGTTTGGCAAACTTCAGTTAGTGTTGGAGGAGGAAAAGAGCACCGTGCAGTTTTATAGCGTGCAGCTGAGGTGAGGCTACAGTAGGATGTCACAGTGACCTGCCTTTGGCAAGTTTGGTTCACCAACCATTCTTCATGAACGTCGTGCTTTGTTAACACTTTTCCAAAAAAAAAATCGCTTGTTTCAACTAACCTGTTGGTAGTTGCAAATATTTTGTTGGTAATAACAAACAAGGTCTTTTTTTAAAGTTTGAAATAAAAGAAAAACCAACTGTAGATGCTGGAAATCAGAAACAAGTACAGAAATTGCTGGAAAAAAAACTCAGCAAGTTTGGCAGCATCTGTGGAGACAAATCAGTTAATGTTTCAGGTCCAGTGACCCTCTTTCAGAACTCAGTTCAGCTCTAAACTAGGGTTGCTGGATCTGAAACATTAACTCTGATTTCTCTGTACAGATACTGCAAGACCTACTGAGTTTTTCTAGCAATTTCTTTATTTGTCTCTGTCAGGTCCACCACATTCCTTGGTCTCAGACGATTCGGATAGTTAGAGAAATGGGGACAGTTACTTGAGAATGAAGATGAAATGGTGCAGAGAAGTGACTGTTTGTTTTCCTTTGGTTTTAGATGAGTGGCAGAACTGAAATAAAATGGGAAAAAGTAGTTATACTGGACTCATGTAGCAAAGGCACTGTTTCTGATATGTATGGAGTCTGGCCACAAGGGTGGCCAATGGTTCACTGGTTAGCACTGCTGCCTCTCAGGACCTGGGTTCCATTCCACTCAGGTTTGTGTGGAGTTTGCACATTCTCCCTGTGTCTGTGTGAGTTTCTGCCGGGTGCTGCAGTTTCTTCCAACAGTCCACAGATGTGCAGGTTAGGTGGATTGGCCATGCTAAGTTACCCGTAGTGTCCGGTGGTGTGTAAGTTAGGTGTATTAAACATGGTAAATGCAGGGTTATAGGGAAAGGGTGTGGGAAGCGGTGTTGGGTTTGGTCGAGATGCTCTTTGGAGGGGATGGTGTGGACTTGTTGGGCCAAATGGCCAGTTTCCACACTGTAGGGATTCTGTAAATAAATATTTTTGAATATGGATGTTGTGTTAGACTGCTTTACCTGTAAATATGTTTGTCCCGGAAGTTTGTTATTGGCTACTCAATTGGGTAAAACATATTTGCCTAGAAAGACGTGCATTAAATACAGTTTTTATAGTATCTATAAAGAAGTCAGCCAAGTTGACCTCAGAATGAGTTCTGGGGCAGTTAACCTGGTCCAATCAGGAGCCCTGGCTGACAGATACAAACAGGAGTGTCAAAGGTTCTGCAGTTCCTACTATCTCTGATTCGAGCCTCTCTGCTCCTATGATGCTGCTTGGCCTGCTGTGTTCATCCAGCCTTGCACCTTGTTGTCTCGGATTCTCCAGCATCTGCAGTTCCTACTATCTCTGTGTCAAAGGTTCTGTTCATTTTTGAGAGCTGGCTCTAGGGAAGCCAGACCAGTGTCAGTGACTAAGTATGTGTAAACGAAGGGTGACTTGGTGACAGGATACAGCCTCTGGAGTATTTCAATGGTGATGAGAGAAAAAAGATCTGCTTCTGAAGAAATTTGCTCTCAACAGTTGTTTGAATTGAGGTAAGCATTTCTGGCATCATACCATTATTTGGGAAGCTTGACCCACTCGATCCTGATGTATGTGGAAAGAGTGCATTATTTTTTCCAGGCAAATGACATCGGGCAGACAAAAAGCAGTGAGTAATTCTTCTGACAGCTTTTGGACCTGCAGCTTCTTAAAGTAACACGGTGTAGAGCTGGATGAACACAGCAGGCTAAACAGCACCAGAGGAGCAGGAAAGCTGACGTTTCGGGTCGAGACCTTTCTTCAGAAATGGGGGAGGGGAAGGGGATTCTGAAATAAATAGGGAGAGGGGGGAGGCGGGTAGAAGATGGAGAAAGGAGAAGATAGGTGGAGAGGAGACAGACAGGTCAAAGAGG